TCCATGTGGGTGGGGTCCCGTTGGTGGTGCCCACACCATTTTCTGGGCTAAATCCTATGGGAAATTTGACTTTTAGCTTTTAGCCCACACATTTAGCATGTGTTATGTTGGGTTTTGGGGGGAGGGGGGAAATAATACCTAAAAAAATAGCATTTAACCAGAGTTGAGTTTGGTTTTAAGGATCCCTAAAAAGAAATAAAACAAAACAAAACCAGAAAAATAGTACAGTATAAAGCCAGACCTAGTACTGTTTGGTACTGATGTGCTTTTATAAAAAGTGGGTATAAAAAAATTGAGCTGAAAAAGATGTTTGGTAAACACTTAAAACAGCTTATTTTCACATTTTAGATTAAAAAAAGGTTGAAAATGTAAAACAGTACAAATAAGCTTATTCTCATAGTACAACAGAAATAAGTTTTTTTCTTTTCAAAATACAAGAATGTCAAACCAACCCTAAAAAGTAAGATCTGTGGGAGGCATGTGGGGTCCTGCACGGTGGTCGACACCTTGGTACTACATCAAAGGTGGTGGGTGAGCAAACAAATCCCTATATATTGCCAGTTAGCAAACCCATATCTTCTACCCTCATTTCTCCTTCTCCTCCTCTCTCTCCCTCTCTCTCTCTCTCTCCCCCCTCCAACACCAAATCCAAAAAATGGGTTCGACCGTAGAGACTCAGATGACTCCAACCCAAGTCTCCAATGAAGACGAAGAAGCAAACCTCTTCGCCATGCAGCTAGCCAGCGCCTCTGTTCTCCCCATGGTGCTCAATGCAGCCCTTGAGCTCGACCTCCTCGAGATCATGGCGAGAGCAGGCCCTGGCGCTTTCGTTTCTCCGGCGGACTTAGCTTCGCAGCTGCCGACCAAGAACCCTGACGCCACCGTCATGCTGGACCGCATGCTGCGCCTCCTGGCCAGCTACTCCATCCTCACTTACTCCCTCCGCACGCTTCGCGACGGCAAGGTCGAGCGGCTGTACGGCCTCGGCCCCGTCTGCAAGTTCTTGATAAAGAACGAGGATGGTGTTTCCATTGCTCCTCTCTGCCTCATGAATCAGGACAAGGTCCTTATGGAGAGCTGGTAATTACCATTCTTCTTAATTTATCATCTTAATTTGATCGTAAACAAACATTAATAATGGGTTTTAAATAGGTTGATCTGAATAAAATTATAAAAATGTTACTAACTGTGAGTCGGGGCCTTGACTAGGCGATTGTTATCTATATTTTTAGGGGGTTATTAAGGAGACTAATTTGTTAAATTAAATTATATATTATCAATAACAAATAACGGTAATCAACATTTACGTAATAATTCAATTATCGCAACTATATTATTTAATTTACAACATTTAGTTTAAAAATTTAATTTTCTTAGCCTTACCCTTATTAGTAGAGTACAGTAATGTTATAGATACTATATATTTAATACATATTTTATCAGAGAAATGTTAAGATGACTCTTTAAAAGTGACAGTTTTCATGTACTTTCTGTCACTTTACAATTTAACGTTAATTTTTTTGTCAGCATTATAAAAATATTTTGTAAAAAGCATAATGTGGCAAAGAGTCCGATGAGAGTGGTCTGAACATTTCTCATTTTGCAAACTACATAATATGTTTATTGATATTTTGATTAACATGTTTATTTTTATTGATGACACATCAAATCAATTACAAATTTTGTCTAAAAAATTTATCTACCCAATATTATCCTTTTTACTAAGAGATAAGACACAGAGATTCTATCAAAATGAGATTTTTTATAAACTCTCGATCATCTCAATTTCTATTCATTTTTCATACCAATATTATAAATTTTATGCCAAAAACTTAAGTTGTCAAAGTCTATGGAGAGTCTACTTAAAGTTTCTATTTGGAAAACGCTAAGGGGACTCTTCATAGATTTTTTGTCCTTTTATATTTTTGACATAATTTTTTATATTAATATTATAAAATATTATATCAAAATATAATATGACAAATATTCCGTAAGTAATTCCACGGTTAAAACAGTCTACTTAACCTTTCTTTTTCTCTACTATTTTCTTCTTTGTTCGTATTACTTTTGTCCGATTTGAAAAGATTATTCAATGTGATGGGTATATAAGATGGTACATCATGTATCATGATACAAAAGGTGAAATATGTGTGTTAAAAAATTAATAACCTAAAAAGTAAAATTTTTCACCACTTACATAAAAATACGTGGTGTATCATCTATATTCCGTCACAATTAAAAATTTCTCCCTTATTTGATCGTTATATCATATGTCATTATACAAATAATATAATATATATGTTAAAAAGTTAATAACTTAAAAAATAAAATTTTTTACCACTTACATAAAAACACGTGATGTACTACTTGTGTTTTCGTTACAATAAAAAATTTGTCCTTGTGACAGACAAGACTGGAAATTGATCGTTCTTGTCACAGTTTTCGAAAGATTCTTCTATGTGGCCGTTTAATTTGACTTGCTGTTGCTCATTATTTTATCATTAATTTAAGTTTTGAAATTTATATTTACTTTTTAGACAAGATTTAAAAATTTAAATTCTTCTAATAAAATGGTGAGTATTATTATCGGTGCTATTCAACCTTAACATTTTAGAATATTAATTGGTCCAATCTTAATGAAAGGCAGAAGACTCGAGAGGACGATGCCAAACTTGTTGACTTGTATAGAGTGAATGGGGTATAAAACGGACGACATATTTTTCTTTCTTTCTTTGATCTTCAGGTAAGATTAATAAATGGACGACATATGCGCCGTACTCGACTAAGATACGAACAACGGTTTGATGATGACTCCTTGTTTTAGGATTGCCACTTACCAAATTAGAAGTGGCAACGTTTCAACGTCAAACGTTTCTTTTTTGTTAATCTTTGAGGCGTTTGATAAAAAAGTCTCGTTTTTCAATTTTGGTGATTAAATATTTATTTATTTTAAAATTTTAATTAAACATTTTTTTTTTACAAGTTTTTTTTTTTTTTTTTTTTGTCGAAATTTTTTTTTCAAGTTTATCAGAAGTACGTTTGATTACCTATAATATAGGTATATTTGCTTTCATGGCACATTTAGATTTTTAGTATATTTTGTTCCTTAGTATATTTAGAATTTAAACATAAAAAATCGGTATGTTTATTTTCAAAATGTATTATAAGTTTTAAATATATTATTTTATAACTTACTAAAATTTTAACAAATTAATGAAGTTTATTTTCTAAAATTATTAGTGACTTTTTTTTTAAAATAGAAGAAGAGGCTAATTAAATATAATAACAAAAATAAAAGGTTTCTCTTTTTTTAGTGACATTGAAAAATTAGTTAAATTAATAATTCTAATAAAGCCATGAATTTAAAATTCGTAAATTGTAGGAAATTAGTTGCTAGATAGTTTAAGTAGATATATATTAAAAAATTTTAAAAAAATGCTTAATTGGCAATTGACCAAAACATCTTAATCGAATTTTGTAAAGGAACATATGTTTAATTTAAACAAGCTAGGAAAAAAATTGTAGGATATTCTAATTACATCTTAACATTTTTCCTTTGTATGACTCCATTGTCTAACACTTTAATTATTCTCTTCTTTTATAAAGCTCGAATATGAGTTAGGTCAATTTGCTAGAGGTGATTTAAATCCCCTCCTCCATCATTTTCATAAGAATGTCGGAATAAAACTGTATACTCGAATATAAGAGGATACTGCTTTGCAAAATAACGTAATCCACATCAATACAATAATTATGTCAACAATTCCTTGTTATTTGATGCTTGTGAGTTATGCGGGCATTGAAACACGTGGTAGGTGGCTTGGCCTAGGTCACATATGAGCCATACCCATATGACTCATCAAACGACGTGTTGTTTCGTTATTTTACACATACTATATGCTTTTGGTTGTGAGAGTGACATGTATGCTTGTTTTGGGTTTGTGCAGGTACCACTTGAAAGATGCTGTTCTTGAAGGAGGAATTCCATTCAACAAGGCCTATGGAATGACTGCTTTTGAGTACCATGGCACTGACCCTAGATTCAACAAGGTCTTCAACGCAGGAATGGCTGCCCACTCTACCATTACCATGAAAAAACTTCTAGAGACCTACAAGGGCTTTGAGGGCCTCACATCCGTAGTAGATGTTGGCGGTGGCACTGGCGCTGTTATTAACATGATCGTTTCTAAGTACCCCTCGATTAAGGGTATTAACTTCGACCTGCCTCATGTCATAGAAGATGCTCCCCAATATCCTGGTATATTTTCATTTTTGATAATGCTTGTAGTTCAATTACTTAAAAAGCATTCACCTTTACCTCGATCTTTCTCAAGTTCGATTTCTCCTCCTCTAATATTGCTTATGTTTGTACTATTTATCATTTTCCCTAATGAATATTAGATCTACGGATGTTGGATGTAGGTGTGGAGCATGTTGGAGGAGACATGTTTGTAAGTGTTCCAAAGGGAGATGCAATTTTCATGAAGGTTAGTTATTATTTATCAAAAAGAGAGTTGATGACTATTTTGTAGTGCTAATATCAATTTCTTATAAGAGCTTAGTTGCATAATAATTTGGAACTATCTCAAATCATGTATGCAATCTTACAGTTTATATGTCACGACTGGAGTGACGATCATTGCTTGAAATTTTTGAAGAACTGTTATACCGCGCTCCCTGACAATGGGAAGGTGATTCTTGCTGAGTGCATTCTTCCAGTAGCTCCAGCCAGCAGCCTTGCCACCAAGGGTGTTGTCCATATCGACGTGATCATGTTAGCTCACAACCCCGGAGGAAAAGAGCGGACGGAGAAGGAGTTTGAGGCCTTGGCTAAGGGATCTGGATTCAAGGGTTTCCACGTCATCTGCTCCGCTTTCAACACCTATGTCATTGAGTTTCTTAAGAAGATTTGAGTATAACTTTGGCAGTGGTATGCTGCCGTCTGCATTCATATTGCTTTTATTTTGATATGGTGGTCGCATATTTTTCAGCATAACTAGGTTATTATATGTTACAAAAAAAAAATGGTAATAAGAAAGTGATTTTATGTTCGTTGTATGTTATAAATTTGGATTCATACGCTTGCAATGGCGTGTAAAACATGAAAAAACACGGTGTACAACGGACAGAGCATGTGTCTGTGCTGCCCATAAAGAAAAAATAAAGACCTATCCTCTGTGAGAGTTTTTTATGGGCGTATCAGAGCATCATCTTATGGGCAGATGAATGAAGCTACTGTGAGCCTCGCTCTAACAGTGTTGGTAACGGCTTGACGCTAGATCCCATTACTTAGAGCATGCACCAACCAATAATTTTGATTTTACAATTACATGTACAAATTGACAATTTGAGATTCTCTCTATGCACAATGTTTTTTCTTTGTGAAAGAACTTGCGTTTTGAGAAAATCTCAGTGACGATCAATATTATTTAACTTTGATCTCATTTATAGGAATGGTTTATATTCATGTAAATAATCACTTTTTTTTTACGGTTTCAATTTTAAGGTATAATATGATCATTATTATGTGGATTTGCTTAAAGAATCGACTCGATGACAAAATCTCATTTCTTCAATTTTCTTTACCTTTGATTGAACTTATCACTATGGTTGATTGTTTTAGGGTGTCTATCAACCATTGGATAGAATTCGAGTTTGTATACACAATTTGATACTTATAACTTAAAATCAACGCTCTAGTGCAATTTTTTACCTTAGTAATCAACTCTCAACGGATAGATTTAAAGTTAATTAATAAAATTGATTGCGAGTGAGATTTCTTCAAAACATTCCACCTTCAAAGAAGAATAGACGTCGTACATGGAATTTTTTACCTCATGTTTTAACGTTAATTTTCGTGCCAACATTATAAAATATTGTGTAATAAACATGAGGTTGCAGAGAGTCTATGGAGAATCCTACTTTTGAGAGAGTCTCCTTAGCATATCTCTTACAATAATTAAGGAGATGAGGATTTCGAACCTGGCACGCATATAGATAAAAATCTAACTCTATTCACTAAGATATATATTCACATGCTTGTGCACCTACTTAATACTTCATGGAGTTTATATTTCAATTTTCAACAAACTGGTTGTTTCATACTGTTTTGAGTAATTAATTTGAGCAAACATTAATGGATAGTAATATTCGATGTTCAACACTTTTGTTTGGATCATTGAAATGTGAGTTTTCATAGAATTACCTAATTTGGTGTAGCTAGGATTAATTTTGAAACTGATTATCTGTCATCTTATGTTTTTTGCACAACATTTTATAATGTTGACATGAAAATTGACATTAAACTATAAGTTAACAAAAAATTTCACTTTTAAAAGAGTCTTCTTAACATTTCTCAAACGGCAATAATCAACTCACCTACACAACTTGTATGTGAGAATGATGGTCCAAGCACTCTTCTAGAATGTTGTCCCAATTAAGTATGAGAACCAAACTTGTTCGGTTTAAAAGTGGAGTCGAAGAAATCAATACAGTACCTGAATTATTATGGAGAAGGTCTTGTCTAAGGTCTAAGTTACGCCACCACATTTATATAAATTAGGTTAACTTTCGGATATGGACAGGTTCCGCTCACCAATTGATTTGATCTTTCAGGGAATCTTAGGTGAAAAAATGCACACCTGCCCCTTATTAAATAGTCACATCATTTTTTCATGCATGAGAACTTTTATTTGAAGCCTATATAATTTTTTTCGGCACAGAACATACTTTTTAGATCTGTATTATTTTTAATTAAATTATTAATATCTTTTTAAATCGTAATTTACTATCTAAACTACTCTCACAAATTTAATTCAACATGTAAGTTTATCTTTACAATCATTATTTTTCACATTAGAAAATACCTGGATCAGTTTGGTGAAGATCCATGTTAATTAAATCTATTAATCTAATTAAACATAGCTGCCATGAGACTACGAGAGTCAAACCAAATTAACCAAACCCTAGCTAGTTTTATAAATGCATGCATATTTTGTAGGTCGACTTGTAGTACAGGGAATAACAGCTAGCAAGTCATGTATGGAAGTTAGAAATTGAGAAATGTAATCTTTTTCAGAATATATAAATAAATTGGTAATAAGATTGCATAATTAATTATCAACACTCAACAGTATGCAAACAAAATGGAACGAAGTGCAATAATTATTATGCTCTCACATGTTTACAGCTACACAACAAGACTAGCTACTAATTAGGTATGAGTAACATCTGACCATGTAATTAAAGAAAAAAACTTTCATTACTTAATTAAAAGGGATAACTAAAAGTGAAATAGCTGGTAGCCAAAAATTTAGAAAAAGCTATGTACGCGTGGATTTGCTAGGTTGACGTAGTAAATGGTTGGACCGATACGCCTGATCCCCTTGAGCCGAAGAGTTGGATAACCCCTTTTTGTCTGAGAAACACTACTCATACAATAAGTTGGGTTTTGATATCATATATAAGAGGCAGCAGTACTAGTGAAAACCTGTGCCATCTCTCTTCCCTCCTCCTCTTCTTCTGTCTTGCCGTTGATCTTGATCAGCCGCTGTTTGTTGTTTTGGCAACAGTAGTAGCAGAAGTACAAGTAGGTTTCATGGAGGTGACAAGTAATGTTGGAGATGATGACGGTGGTGGTAGGGTTGGTGGATGGTGGTGGTGGTAGTATGATGATGACAATGATAAAAGTTGGAGGATCCAAAACTTCAAAATTACCCTTTAACCGTAAAAAAAAAGCTTGTTTTTCTCTATGAGAGCGTCTTATGATTTTTTTCCACGATAGAACATAAGAGCAATATTACATAATGATTAGGGTTTGATTATTGAGAATGAGTTTATTGATAATTTTTTTTATTATTAATTTTATTTTATCCTTGATGGTAATTATGCAATATGATAATAAAGATATTTCATGTTTAAAATTAAGCTGAGTATAGAGAAGTTATACGAGTTCATACTAAATTTTCCTTCATAGATCTATTAGCCAGGATGACACATACCATGACAATGACATCATCTCAATTAGTATATGCTATCTACCTTATTAAGCTTCACGAAAATATATGGTTCTTTATATACTATCTACCTTTTTGAGCTTTACGAACATATATGATGCTTGATAAGAACTTATATAAACGTATTTATCATGACATTTTATTTTTGTTATATAATGTTATGTGTAAAATTTTTAAGATGTTTTACATTATTGAATTGAAATATCACAATAACGATAAACGCGTTCTACGCAAATTACTCTTTTATAAATATCAGGTGTATTTGTCCAATGCCATTTCAGCCTCCTTGTTTCATTTCACAATTGCTTGAATTACATAACTTGTTTTGCCGGATCAATAACTATGGACAAAAAGTTTGAACTTAAATCTTTTCAAACACCAGAAATTAAGAGAAATAAATAAAGAAGGAACACCTTATTGTAAATTATGCTCTATCACCAACTACAAGGACTTCAGAGGAGCAATTCACTATTTTTTCCCAATTCTCCCTTGTCATGTTGGATTGAAGAGTTTTACTTCTTCTTGTATTTCTTCGTACTTTACTAGGTAATCCTTATGCTCGAAGTGATGTATACAGATCCAACCTACCACTCCAAATCCAACCGAACAATATATCATAGTCGAACTTATAACCCATTAAGTATGGCATGTATTGAAGAAGGAGGTGTTGGTTGATCTTCTTCCTGAACTTGTAAAGAGCTATCAATTTTTTATTGCCGATTACTTCCTTAAACTTTTAGAATTGGCCAATTTACCCCCTAAGTTTTAACTTTAGCCGATTACCCCATGAACTTTTATAATTGAAAAATTTCCCCTAAATTTTAAAATTCAAACAAAAAGTGTGCGGAGTGAACTAGCGGAAGAGAAGAAGAAGAAGAAAAAATCAATTATGTTGTCTACATTAGGGATAAAAATATCTTTTTGCAATTATAAAATTAAAGTTCAGAGGAAAAATTGGTCAATTATAAAAGTTTAGGGGGAGTAATTGGCTAATTTTAGTTTATAAAGAAATTGACAGCTTCATACAAATTCGAAAGAAAAATCAACAAATATCTCTCGAAGCAAAACTGCACTTTTTGATAAGAAAGTTTGGATTTGTAAGTAATCATTAAATTTGTTCATATTTCTTTAAAAGATTAGTCTAAAAATTAAGAGTAATACTAGATAGACTAAATGATGTGTTACTAATAAAAAATAAACACGTTAAGGGTAATGGTAGGAAGACTAAATTTGTAGACAAAATTTTGTAAACTAAATTACTCAAGCGTTGGTAAATGTGCTCATTCCTAATGGTGATACATCATTTAGTTTGTAAATTTTCTTTATAAATTTAGTCTCCCTAACATTACCCACATGTTAATTAACACTTAAATGATAATTCAATCATTAACTTCTATGTCATTTAATTTACCAAATTTAATTTGAATATTTAGTCTCCCTAACATTACCCAAAAATTAATTTACCTAGATTATCCTTTACTAACGTGGCTTTTTTTGTTCACATTACTTTTGGCCAATTTGGTCGTTCGGGACGGACATGATTGGAAGTTGATCATTCTAGTCCGAGTTTTAGAGTTCTGAATGATTCTTTGGTGAAGCTGTTTAATTTGAGTGGGTGTGTTTATGTTTAAATTTTGAGATTTATATTTATAATTTAACAGATTTAGAAATTTAATGGTAATAAAGTGCTGAATATTATCGTCATTTTAAGGTGATTGAGCTAAAATACTTTGCAGTATGATTAGTTCCGTTTTAACGGAAGGCAGAAGACTCGAGAGGACGATGCCTAACTTTTTGACTATTTAGAGTGATTGGGATATAAACAGTCGACATATATTTCTTTCTTTGATCTTCAGGTAGGATAATAAATAGACGACATATGCGTCGTACTCGAACAAGATACGTAACAATGGATTGGTGATGACTGTTCACCTATTTTAGGATTGCTACATAACCAAAATGAGTGGAAAGCTGGTACCACTTCACCAACCACACCAGTGTTTCACTATGAAAAAGTTTCTTTCTTATAATATT